ATTTTCATAGGCTGTAACCACAAATTTCATTGTTTCTAAGAGCATGAACTTCAAGGGCTGTAATAAAAATTAAGGTAAGCTAGCATGTTAAGTTTTCGAATCTCCTTCTTTGGATAATCTTTTCACTTAACAAGTACCAAGGTGGATATACTCATGCAATCCACAGTTTTGCTACTCTCATTGGTTAACCAATATACCAGTGGAGGTTTTAGAATTGGTATGTAGGTTGTCCTTATAGAAGGGAGCCTTGGAGCAATGATAAGTTATTTTCGCGTGACTTATATGTCACAGGTTCGAACCGTAATGTTTGTGTCAAAGAAGGTTAGGTTGCCTCAATCACATTCACTTGGAGTGCTGCCCTTCTCCGAAGTCCGTGTGAACATGGAATGTTTCATGCACTTGGCTGCCCTTCAGTCAGTGTCACCATCTTCATTATTTATGCTTTTATTAGAATGACTTGGTTTCAGCAGTCTTCAGTTTTAAGTTCTGCCAACTAGTTACTATCCGTGTACGAATTCAGATAGTTCCATTTATTGGTTCTTCCTACTTTGCAGGGGTGTTCAAAATCGAACGAAAATCGAAAATCGAACCGAAACCGAAACCGAAGCTTAATGGCTTATTGGTATCGGGTTAACGGTTTAACGGACAGGGAACAGAATGAAATATTTTCATTAACGTCTTATTAGTTTGGGGGCGGATTATTCAATTTTATTAACGGATAATCCGTTAACCCGTTAAGAATATATATATATATATATATATATGTAATATATATACTTACGCTGTACTATGCACTAAGTATAAGCGTATTAGGTAATATTATATCGAATATGGCTTATATATATATATATATATATATATATATATATATATATGTAATATATGAAATCCAATCCAAACGCCACCGGACTATGTTCCGCGTCCAATCCAAACGCGACCAGTATCATAATAGGCCAAGCGTTACCATTGACCTTAAGTTTTGCTTAACTTACCATCACCAAACACGTGTCATCGCTTGGTGCTTTTTCATTCACTAGCAGATAATACATAATAGTAGCAGGAAGAAAAGGCAGCATCACCTCCAAATTGAAAGTGAAATCGGTTATTAACATGGTAATTTTACCTTCCTTAGAAAATAAATGTTGCCGTTAAAGCGGACCATAAAACGATAGTAATAATCAACAACCTTGGTTCAAATTTCTCAACATGTAATGAGTTCAAATACATCATGTGAAAGAGGAAAGAGACTCATTTATTTGACCATCAGGCTAACTTGGAACTACTATAAGAGAGCATATGTCTTCACACAATTCAATTGCTTGTGGAATGTGTAAACCTTGCCACTCAGTATATTTGTTGCGATAGTACGCCCTCTGTAATGCACGCAATATAGATTGAATTAGGCTGATAAATCGCCCGATAAGAGCTAAACCGATACCAATCCGCCGGATATCTTATCGGGCGGCTAGCGAATTAATATATTTAAAATCCGGTAACCGATAAGCCAAACCGTTAAGAGTAAATAACCGCCCAATTCGCCCGATAAGTAGCCCTACTACTTTGCATATTGTAAGGAAGGCTTGTCGATCGAGGGTTAGCAAGAGTAGACCATATACTCTTTGTTGATCAACCATCCAGAGCGAGGTTTGAAACGCCTCAATTACAAAGTGGAAGATGCCTCTAACAATGGGTGGGATGTCTATCAAACTCGCAGAGCGTGTTCAATTAGATCCATACTACGATCCTATATCGGTGATTTTTCTCCAATTACGGATCCCAGACTACCCCCATAAACATAAAATCTATTGCCATGAGAACGCTGTTTAGTTGGCCTATGCCTATTTGAATAGCCTTGGTAAATCCTGTCTTTCTAATTGAGGTCATGTGCAAAGACAATGTGATGAACTTCACTCGTTTTGAAAGTAAATTCTGTGTTCCAAGGCCCTAAAAACCTCTTTTTTTCTCACCTCGACTTGCGTGCGCAGTCCGGGCACGTTTCCGGAAAGCTTTTATGTGAAAACTAAGTAAAATAAGGAAATTGGCTTTTAAAATTAAATAGAGATGACTTCGGTCAACATTCTTGGTAAACGGATTCGGATCCGTGATCCGACGATCTCGTAAGGTCCGCAGAAAAATTTGGGACTTGTGCATATTCCCGAAATTGGATTCCGAGATCCCAAGCCCGAGAAATGAATTTTTAAAGAAAATTATTTTTTGAAAAATATAGAGGTTTTTAGAAGTGAATTGATGCATTTTCTTGATGGTATCGGGCCCGTATCTTGGTTTCGGAGCCCGGTACAAGTTTGAAATAATAATTGAGTTGAATATGTAAAATTTGGTAAAGATCGAAATTGGTTTGGTATAAAACGGACCTATAGTTGAGAAAATAGTAATTTTGATGTTCTTGAGTGATTTCATGAATTTGAGGTTTAATTCATAGATGTTGATGTTATTTTGATGATTTGATTGCACGAGCAAGTCTGTATGATATTTTTGGACTTGCGTGCATGTTTGGTTTGGAGCCCCGAGGGCTCGGGTGAGTTTTGGATAGGTCACGGAGTGAAATTGGACTTAGGAAAAAAAGTTGCTGGTATCTGATATTTTGCAATTGCGAAGTCCTCAGGCATGGGAATTGCGACCCAGGTGTCGCAAATGCGAACCTAGCCTGGGCAAACCTTGGTCGCAAATGCGACACTACTATCGCAAATGCGACTGATTTCTCGCAAATGCGAAGGTGACGGGATTTTCCCATGGTCGCAAATGCGACAGGTTCTTCGCATTTGCGAAGATAACAGGTCCTGAAGGGGTTCGCAATTGCGAACCCTGGTCGCAATAGCGACATTTGCGACCAGTTAATTTGGACTTAGACGCATTTTTCTTCATTTTTCAAACCTTCTCAAAAACTACACTCTCTTGGGCGATTTTCTAAAGAAAAGTTCTTCTCCAAATCAATTGTAAGTCATTTCTAACTCGTTTTCTTCAATCCATAACCTCTTTTCACATGATTTCAATCCAAAATCAAGGATTTTCTTGGGGAAAATTGGGTGTTTTGGGTAGAACTTAGGATTTTCAAATTTTGGGGATTTGGACCTCGATTTGAGGTCCGATTTTAAAATAAATTATATATTTGGGTTCGTGAGTGAATGGGTAATCGGGTTTTGGTTCGAACCTCGGGTTTTGACCATGTGGACCCAGGGTCGATTTTTGACTTTTTGGGGAAATCATTTGAAAACCTATTTTCATGCATTAGAATTGATTCATTTAACATTTATTAATATTATTAAGTAAATTGTGGCTAGATACAAGCGAATTGGTGGTGGAAGCAAGAGGTAAAGCGGTAGTTGAGGCTTGAATTGTGTTCGTGGCATTGAGGTAAGTGTTTGGTCTAACCTTAGCTTGAGGGATTAGGAGTTGTGTCTTATTTGCTATGTGTTAGTTGTTGAGTACGACGTATAGGCGTGGTGACGAGTATCTATGCGTCGGTGTCAAGCATGCCCGTGAGTCTTATACTATGATTAATGTGACTCCGTTTCGTATTGTTCATGCTTTATATGATGATTTCTATTGTTGAACAAGGCTTGTGGAAGTGTTAATGGTAATTGAACATTGTAGAGCGTTGGCTCAAGTTGAGAATTGAGTTGTGAAGTAATTGTGGGAAAGAGAAGAGGTTTATGATATTGTCTCCCTTGCCGGGATGTTATTGCTTTTGATATATCTCCCTTGCCGGGATGTTATTACTCATGATATTGTTTCCCCTGCCGGAATATTGTTGTTATGCTATTGTTCCCTTGCCGGGATTTTATTGTGATGTTATTGAATTTCCTTGTCCAAATTGCTTTGTGATTATTGCTTGGGTGAGGAAGAGTGTAAAGCACGAAGGGTGATGCCGTGCATGATTTTTGAGAGTGTTAATGCACGAAGGATGATGCTGTGCCGATATTGTGAGGTAAAAGCGCGAAGGGTGATGCCGTGCCGCACGATGTAAAATGCTGTGCCATGATATGAGTGATAATGCTATAAGGATAATTCCGTGTCATGATTATGTAAGGTAACAGTACGAAGGCTGATGTCGTGCCGATTATATTGATTCTTATTGTGAGGACGAGAGTAAAAGTACGCAGGGTGATGCCGTGCACTTGTCTTTGATTTTCCTGATTCTTGCTGATAATTGAATTATGGTGTTCTTTACATTTATCTATTGGTTTTCTGTTATTACTTGATATTCCTCGCAACATGTTTTCCCCCTCCTATATTTACCTGTAAATTTCTGCCTTTATTTTTCCGCTGTATATGATTTAACTGCATAGGTTTATTTGGTAGTCTGGTTCTAGTCTCGTCACTACTTCGCCGAGGTTAGGCTAGGCACTTACCAACACATGAGGTCGGTTGTGCTGATACTACACTCTGTACTGTGTGCAGATCCTGGTGATGTAGCTTTTGGACCACAGTGAGGTTGCTGCCTTCAGTCCAGTGGCGGAGACCGAGGTAGTCCTGCAGGCGTCCGCAGGCCTTGGCGTCTTCTTCTATCTTTCCATTCTGTTTCTTTTATGTATTTCAGAGACAACTTTGTATTTATCTTTCAGACCACTGTTTTTGTAGTATTCGTAGACAGTCCGTGACATTGTGACACCAATTCTGGGTAGAGTTGTATGTTGGATTCTGCACTAGTATATGGTTAAACTATGAGTTTCGTCTTCCGCATTTCTGTTTATTATAATTATTTCATTGTTGATCACCTGTTATATTGAACCGTTAAAAAGACTAAGCAAAAAGGTTAATGAATCTATAATACTCGGGTTGCCTATCTTTCATGAGTAGGCGCCATCACGACTTTCAAGGGTGGGAAAATCCGGATCGTGACAAACAAAATACTAGCTTTCATAACACCTCAATAATCTTCTACTTTCTCTTTGTTACAAATGCTACTTCAAGTTCACTCACAATCTCAAACTATTATGTACAGCTCATGAACTTAATGTCAACAAAATCACACCAGCATATAAACCAATACTGGTAAACCACAGATCTATTGTCAACTTTGTATGATATTTGTACATCACCCAAAAATGCCCAAAAAGTAAAAACAATAATAAAAGAAATGAAAAAGAAAGACAAGAAAAAACAAGAACAATTTGGGGTCCGCAGACAATGCAATGTTTCTCCAAGACTCCTCTTCTTTGTCCGAAACAAAAGCAAAAGCATTTTACTTTCGGATCACAAACTCCTCACCGGATTCTCTATCAAACCTTCTAATCCATTTCTTCTCCATCATCCCGCCGGTACCACGCTTCCCTTTGCCGGTGCCGGAGCCGGCATCCCCCACATGAGCAATATCCAATCCCTTCCCGACCGGCAAAAAAACCGATCGTACAATTCTTGATTTTCCGTCAAGTACACTTCTCCATCTAAAATCTGAAACAATTCTTGAATTCACATTTTTACATACCAAAACTGCACCCCTATGGCTTAACTTAGCCACCTTCAATATTCTTGAAAAGTCATTTTTTTCACAATTTACTACCAAAAAATCTATTCCTACTAAATTCTCCATTGCTTCCTCCGGCTCCCCAACGACAACTTCCGGCGACATTCCGGTGGTTTTTTCCATTGATAATATGTACTCAATTCTTGAATCTTCGTCGGGCACTATGCAAATATGTTTGCCACCTGTGTATTTGCTGGCTATAGAGAGGCCGATACTGGTTGACGTAACGTCGTCCCCACGTCGTGACCATGTCTCTACGATCATTTGTGCATCCCATCCCGCTGCCATTGCTGAGACTAATTCTTCTACATTGGATTCTTGAAGTAACTCGCACTGTATAATGAGAATTGGGATAAAGTTAATGAAATTTTCATTGGAAAATAAAAAATAAGGTAAAAAGACAATATGGGCATCATGTAATATGTGCGTATATAAATATACACACATGTTAAATAGAGTTTTTCGAAAAAATCTGCTAATAGAAGACCTCGTAAGGGATAAGATACAAAGGGCTTAAGAGAGCCCAGAAAAAATAATTTTTTTATATAATCTATACGTATGCATCTAGTCTAAATTCGTTAACTCTAAATTCTGGATACTTTTTATGTATATGTAAAGGATAGCTCGATCTGGTGCATTAGTCTCCCGCTATGCGTAGGATCCAGGAGAGAACCAAATCACATTGGCTCTTATGTAAACAACCTTACCTTGCATTTTTGCAAGAAGCTGTTTCCTCGGCTTGAACTTTTACCGTTACGCCAAGGCTCTTCTTCGCTTCATAGATATTTGGCGAACAAAAATAGAAATGATGGACTTACTGATTTGACAGTATCGAGATAAGCTTTAGATGCTTTTTCAGGAGACCAAACCATCTTCATCTCTCTGTATTAATACTTGAGTTGTTCTTGGAAATATTCTTTATTTCTTTGCTGCAACGTTTCAAAGGTGGTGAAATATATAGATAATGCTTATGTTAGGATAAATTAAAAAGTCTAAATTTGTGTTGAAGATTTTATAGGAGACAGAAAGAAGCTAATTAAATGACTTTCCAAAAAGTAAAGAAGTATGAAAGGGAAAAGGTCAGTTTGAGAGAGTTGACATTAAATCCAGGCAAATCCAACGTGGGAAGATTTGGATTAAAATTTGAAGATATTTGCATCTTTCCTTCTTTTAATATTAATATATGTGCCTCTCTCTTCTCACCCTAAAAAAAAAAAAGAAATTAGCCTAACTCAAAAAAGTAGTGACGGTTCATATCAAATTTTACTTCCTCTGTCTTAAATTATCTTGTCATAATTTTAAAAATCTCAAATTATTTGTCATTTTAGAAGTTCAAGAGTAAAATTAAATTTTTTCTCTTATTCTACCATTAATATTAATTGTTATTCAAGACTAAAAATACTGTAATTATAAGTATTAAATAAAGAGAGATTATATTTCATGACATAAATAAGGATAAAATAATCAAAAAAATTTATTTAATATTTTATTAAGGGGTGTATAAAAGAAAAGTACGACATATAATTTAAGACGGAGGAAGTAGTAATCTACACCATAGGCTGTCATTATTCATGTAATCCACATTGGCCGGTTACTCGGTGAGATTGCCATGTCATGTGTACTTCCTTTGACCATATCTTTTAATCTTACTTTAGAAAGTAAAAATATTATTAAAAAAAACGATTTCATACTAAGAACGTGAACCTAAAACCTCTGATTAAGGATAAATGAGTACGTATCGTTTCATTACAATTTTTTATGGTTCGAATTTAATAGTTTGATGTGTTTGTATTTGGATATTTCGATTCTCTAATGTTATAATAAAAAGGATACTTCGGTGCACAAAGCATCTTGTGTTCACGCAGGGCCCGGGGAAGGGTATCACTCCGAAAGGGTATGGTGTAGGCAGCTTACTGTAATCCAAGTATCAATGGCTGATACTACGGTTCGAACCCGTAACCTAAAAGGGCGCTCTAATGTTATAATAAAGGTGCTGAAATTCTCTGCATCTTTTATGCTGGCTATATTTTATGCTTGTTAGATTGTTAGTCCTATATAATAATGTCTGTTGTCTTTTTTTTTTTTTGGTAATAAAGATAGATATTATATTTAGACAAGCAATAATGTCTGTTGTCACGTATATATATTCCTAGTCTTTAGATTATATCTATATATATATATATATATATATATATATATATATATAAAAAACTTTGAATCATTATCTAGTACTCCGTCCTCATTGGTCGGTGAAATTGCCAGTTCTTTGTACTTTAATAATTTTCTGATGGCCCATGACCCTGATTTGGTTATCTTCTTTGTTGTACCGTCTGCTGAAGCTCCAAAGGTCAACGATTTAGATGCGGAATTAGGACTTGAAGTTTATAGAGTTAAGAATCCGTCATTGAACTTAGATTTTTTTAATTATTAGATTCGTAATTAAATTTTTATTTATATTTAATGGATATCCTAATATAAAATACAGAATCTAAACAAAAGTTATCGTATCTAAACTTATACTCAGTGGCGTAATCAGGAATATCGCCAAAGGTTTCAAACTTTAAATAAGTCGACAAATTTTTTTTCAATGAATGAGGGCACAATTTTTTTAAAATCAAACTACACTAAACGATAAAAATACTTGTAATAGAACTATAATTTGATAAATCAAAACTAACAGAAAAACGATAACAATAAACGTTTTACTGATAAAAGTAAGCATAAAATCAAAGGAGAGAGTCCAGGGGGTTTGTAATATGTAGAGAGCTTTTATTGAAGAATTTTTTGTAAAGCTTGACTTTTAATTATAAAATTTATTTAAGAAATAAATTTCAATTTAAAAACTACTTTTTAGATTAATTATTTATTTTTACATATATGGTGGTCTCCGTTCAGTTTTGGCAAATAAAATAAACAAATATTTTGACAGGGAATTAACCCGTGAACAACACCATTGGATTGTCTCATTCAATTATATTAAGGGTGTTCAAAATATAATATATAACCATATAAAATAATATTTGATCTATATACACGGTATAATTCTTCAGCGATGAGAGTTCGCTTGACCACCATTGGCATAGAGTGGCTACGCCCCTGATAACAAGGACCCACCCACCCCCATACAACACCTACTTGCACCTACTATATATGTATTTTTGCCGCATATTTAATATTCTTTTAGTTGTTTGAAAAGAATTTTTTTTATATCCCAAGGGTTTATGTTGTTATAAGTAGTATGTATTGACTTATTCACTTCCCAAAGTCAACGTTAGTGAAAGGGAGATATTTTAAATATAAATTAAGCATCACAGCATTATGTATAAGCTAAGATTTCACACCTTCATTTTCATTTTATATAGTATGGTTTTATAGACTCCAAACCGTGTTGCCTTTTAATATATAGTCACAACTTATTACCACAAAAAAAAAAAAAAAA